ATTGTAGTGAAAAGATGTTGATTCTAACTCAAAATTGACTATATTTTTGTATATCAATCTGTTGCAAATAAATGTCTGAAAAATTATAATACATGCACATACACAAACATGCCAACAACAACGCCTTAATACCAAATTTTTGGAGTCGGCTACATGCATTTATAATTCATTCAGTTCTATTATGAGTCATCTCCCCCGTCAAGTTTAACTCACATCCCCTCCTTAATTGCTACCAACCAAGTTATTGAAGGTTACTCAAATAAATACCAAGTCGTTAAGCTCTGAGCAGGCACACACATGCACAAATATTGATGCATAAATTGTCCTACATGAAGAACAACATATGTCCTATAGTTCTATACATGTACCTGCTCACTCAGGCAATGTGTTCTTTGAGAGTTGATTTATAAGAGAGTTGAATAGAAGAGTGGGGACTCTCATGAGCTTTTTTCCTTTTCCTTTTTATTCCATTAAGAACAGAATAGAAGAGAAAGAGGACCTAAAAACTTTTGTGTAAATCATAGGATCAAACAATAAAAATAGTAGCTGATAATTAGTCTACAAGTAGAAGGTAACAAAATTTTGTAAGTTCAGATCAGTATCAGATATAACAGTCATGAAAAATCATATAAGCGCATCTAAATTAATTCATACCGCGAACATCATCAAATAATGAGCCTACACATAGTTACACAGTTTGCGCAGTGAACTTTCGGATACAGACATATAAAGCCTGTGATATTAGGGAAAATTTTTGACACTTACTTGAGTTGTTCAGTATGTTCAAGCTTACGACTCCCTTCAATTGCAGACTCCTTATCAGAAACCTCAAACAACAAAGCCTTATCATTCGGAACCTTCACATTACATTTCCTAGACGCCGCCACAACAACCTGAGCAATTCTCGTTAGCGGACTACCTCCAGGCTTCTGATGCCTATACAACGGCGTCCCCACAAAAAAGCTCACAACAGCAACAGCCATAACCACTGCCGGAATTCCAAACCCCCATCCCCAGCCAACATTAGTCTGTATCCAAACAAGTACAGACGAAGCGATGAGAGCTCCAATATTGATCGAGAAATAGAACCAGTTGAAAAAGGAGCTCTTGCTTTTGTTTTCATTTTCGTCAGATTCATCAAATTGGTCGGCGCCGAAAGAAGAGACACACGGTTTGATTCCTCCGGTGCCGAGAGCGATGAGATAGAGCGCTACGAATACTACCGCGGACTGTGCTGATGTGGGGTCGCAGGCTCCATTGTGGCATGTCGGTTTTAGGCCTTTGATGGAGGATGTCATTGTAAGAAGTGTCAAGCCCTGTGAATAAGTTTAAATGTTATGGTTGTGAAGACAGGAGAAGATATCAGGAGGAGTGCTTCCCGTTTAGTGGAGTTATGTCTTGATTAACTGATGTTGTATAGTAGAATAAGGCCTAACGCAAATTTTTATTTTTTTTCTCATCCATTACTCCTTGTGTGTTTCTAAATCTTAGTGAATAGGGTTATTTTCTCTTTGGTAGTTTACCCCTTTTTTCACTTTGATACCCAGCTTATTTTTTTAGTACTTTGATAACCCCAAAGCTGCAATCCCATTTCACTTTGATACCACGTGCTTAGCGCATGATACCCCACCCCAAAACCCCTAACAGTCCACTGCTTTTGCAAATATTTGGTTGTTTTGGGTACCTAGCGACCGGGTAAAATGGACCTAACAAAATGAAATTGAAACTTTGGGGTATCAAAGTGGTTAAAAAATACTTTGGGGGAATCAGAGTGAAAAAAAGGGGTAAACTATGGGGTACCAAAGTGGACATAAGCCTTGTAAATATCAGATCTCTTTATTATCGATAACTTAATCCTCGGGCCTTCTCTATAAAAAAAATGGTACCTTTAAACACAGAACACATAGAAAGCAGAGTTGAACAGGGTTCTCGGTGTATCTTACCATGATATAGATCATCATGAAACTGGCAATCGTCTTGTATCGTCCTAAATAAGCGTCGGCTATAAAAGCCCCAAGGAGGGGCGTAATATAACACGTCCCTGACCAATTGGTGACATTGTTGGCTGCACTGGTATTTCCTTGATTGAGGAACTCCTTCATGAAGTTCACCAGATTGGTGCTCATCCCATAGTATGCCAATCTTTCACAGCATTCATTTGCTGCAGAGGTAATAAGAATGTTGAGGATAGAGATCAAGCATAAACGGAGACAAATAAATCAAATAGTTCAGAAAATGATGTGGAAACTAATGAATGCAAACAAACTATAAGGATTATTTTGGCTCCTTTATCTTGGGTGAAATTTAGGCAGACACTGGCGAGAGGGATGACATTAGTGAGTCTATCTGAGGGTAAAAAAATAGTCAAAAGAATTCACCCAGGAACAATATCTGCCAAACGAAACTATAGGGGTAGTAAGTTCAAAACGACGATATTACACGTGTTCCATGTGCAATTAACTCTTTATAAACATCATACCCAGAATGTAGGGACAAGCCCTCCATCTTCCAGTATTCTTTTTGAGAGAAGGATTTCCACGGAGATCGGTAGTTCCATCTTTGGTATACTTATCCTCGTACTCCTCCATCACTTCTTCACAACAAAGAAGTATCCTTCACAATGATTCTTCGATTCTTCTAAGTTGTAAAACCTGGAATTTCAACACTTCAGTTATGTAAAGGAACTTAAATCATATTACCAAAAAAAAAGATGTAGATAGTTTTAATCCGCGGTATCTAATATCAAGCATGTAAAAAGATGATAACAAATAAAAGACCCAATAAGCAAAATCCAACACCATTAGCTTATTGAGCAGAGATTTACTCCCAAAAAAATTCAAATATTCCAAAGCCAAGTTGTTAAATGTTAAAACTGCATTCACAATAAGAGGAGAGTAGTAAAGAAACCCAAATCAGAAAACAATAATATACCTCTCAACTAATCTTCAGTGATCTTATGGAGTGTAGAGACTCTAGTTTCCTCATCATCAGCAGCAGAAGAATAAGATTACTGGCTGTTTCAAATGGCCAAGACCCTGACTATTTTCATGCTTGATAGAATTTTTTTTTTTAATGCTTGCTATTAATTAATGATTAATCAAATGGACGAGTCAACTAGCTAGGAGTTCTCTAGGGGAAGGTACTGAGAAACAAGCACCTATTAACCTTAATATTATAGTATTACAGATGCAGATGGAGTTCCTTTGATAAGGAGCAAAAATCAACAGCTCAGAATTGCATGATTGCTCACTAAAATAATTTTTTCCCCCCCTCCCTGATAAGAATCAAAGGAATCTGAGGATGAACCAGTTCAATTTTGACTTCTCAAGAAACAAAACGAAAGCAAAGTGAAAAGGCCATATAACAAGTCCAAAATAATAGGATCATGACAGATGACGATTGTTGCGTGGAGTCTCAATTAAACAAGAATCTTTGAACATTCGGACTCAATTATATCTTAAGGACCACTGAGGTTGGCAGAAGAAGAAAAAAAACGCAAAATAATAATAAAAGTAAACAAAATATTCTGAAGAGATTATAGCAGGGAAAGAACTCGGATCATGGCGATTCACAAAATTAATGGTCAGAATAAGCTCTGTAATTATAAGCAGAGAAAATATGGTACCTCTTCTACTTCTTGATCCCCAGATCTCCCTCTGAATCTTTGATAGTCTGCATGTAGAAAGAAACCTCTTGAGTGATAAGTTTAGGCCTGGAGACACATTTAGAATTTATAAAGAATGTGGTATAAAGTGAAGATATAAATATATACATGTACAATGAACAATAGTGATTATACTGTGAAAACGGCGAAGGAATTGAGGAAAAGAATTGAGGAAAACGTGAAAAATGAGTAAGACATACTCCACCACACCCCGGTGTGGTGTCTGCCACACCCATGTGACATGCTATACCCAGATGGTAGGGTGTGACAGAATTTACCCTGTTTGTCATGAGTGTGGTGTCTGTCACACCCTGGTATGACAGAATCTGACATGTTTGTCATTGGTGTGGTGTGTACCACACCAGGGTGTGGCAGACTCATTTTTTAGAATCATAATTTATTTGGGATTGTGTTTTGTTATAAATAGAGTCACGTTTTTTAGGGTTTTCCATCGATTAATTAGGTAGCTTGAAGGTGATTTTGAGCACAGAAAAGAAAGATCTTTCTGAGCAATTTGTTTGAGGGTTTAGTTTGAGAGATTTGAGAGATTTGTTTGAGAGGTTAGTTTAGTGATCTTGTAATCTCTACTTTGTACTCTCTTTTTTTATAGTGGAAACTCATCCCTTTTTGCGGCACGCTTCTCAGAATTCCAAACAAAAAAAACAAAAGATCAGTCAAGAAGTCAAAGATGCATACACCAACTAGAAAACTAAAGAGATCAGCCGCAAGCCCAACCCATAGAATTATATAGACATTTGTTAAAGAGAACGATGTCATAAACACTAAGAATTTTATAATTGCGAAAAAACTTATTAAAGATAAACAATTTAAAATGATGGAGATAGCCAGGAAGTTGCCCAGATATCTATTTAGGAGTTAGGATTTCCTGTGAAAAATGTATATATATATATATTATCACCACTATTATAGGGAAAATATGTGCACATAAGTTTCCATAAATAATATTTCGACTTTAAAAGGAAACAAAATTTGAAGTGGGGGAATATATAACTCACGTGCATGCCTCAATTTGAGCTCATCCGAGCTCGAATCTTCAGATGAAAAAAAGAGCAAAACGAGCTGCAAATTTATAGAAAAGAAAGAGACCTGGGCTCTTTGCCTTTTGCTTGGCCGGCAATCATCGGGTCATCCTCACTCTCTGATTTATGGGCGAAAACAATTCAAAGATGGGCTTTACCAAAATTATTAAATGCCCCTGGATTTTGAATTTATTACAAGAAAGCAACCAAATGGGGGAAGAGTTTCCTATAGGAGAATTTCTTTAAAAATAATTAGTAAAATCTACCCTTTGTGAAAATATTAGCAAAATCAGTATTTTTTTTTTGTTAGCTGGTCAAAAAAAATCAATTTTATAATATATTAATTTTAAAATACACGGGATTAGTAGTCAAATATAATTAGTTTTCATTAATTAAATTTTAACCATTTCAGTCCAAAGTACAATGGATTACCATTTCAAATTAGCCATAACTAATGACCATTAATTATACAATACTACTGGTCCAGTATATTTTAAAGTCGATATTTTACAAAATTAATCATTTTTTTGTTAGGTTAGATTTGCTAAATATTTTTCAAAAGGTCAATCTTGTTCGTATTTTTTAAAATATGTTTTCCTTTTTCCTTTTTTTTAATTCTTCTTTCCTATATGGGGAAGGGGTGTTTGCGTCATTATGGGGGCGTGGAATCTTGATAAAATATCTCTTTCAAGTGGGAAAGCAAACTGCGTGACAGCGAAAGTCGACGTCGACGTCCGTGAAGGACAGTGACCTGATACAAGCGGAAGCGGGCACACGTTCCCTAATGGGCCAAATCTAAATTGGCCCGGCCTATTCCATTACGCATTTGACCCACCCTACGTCTCCAGTTAACAAACGATTTTATTGATTCCAAAAATAAACATGGATTACCTTTATTTATATTCTTAATTTCCAATATATATATATATATTAATTTCTACCTAAATGATTAAGAAGTATTTGGGCTTTCAGTGGATCGTTTCTCTCTCTGTCCTTATCAAAGTATGAACCGAATGTTACTTGCTCGTTGTCTGCTTACGGAAAGCAAAATGTGAACTTAAATCTGTCATATTAGAGCATGCTTTATGCATACAACATAGAAGTTAATTGTTAACTTAGACTATGTTTCTAAAAAATAAGTATAGCTTAGACTTAGATCAAAGTTAACGATGATAGTAATAGCTATCCCTGTAGTGTAATTGACAAGCAGAATTTTAAAATCTTGGATGTGACCGCTCAACTCGGCCAATTATGGAAACTGCAGCGAGCTCAAGGGTAATACTCTCGGCTAGGTGCGCAAACATATCAGACATGGTTCAGATATGATACTTATCATATTCATATCCGGTTTCTAAAAACGTAGACGAATACGATTCTCATCGGTGAGGAAAAAGCACGACCATCTCAGCAAAAATAGAAATAGATATAATTTTGATATTGAAGAGACTACATGGGAATGGTTGACCGTATAAATCAAATACTTAGCGAATTGACATACGCCAACTAGACGAGATGATATGTATATTAATTGCTCTAATTTGCACCAAAAAGATAAACATGATCTAAATTTGCTATATATTGCCTACTATTAAATTTTAAAGGTAGCGCACAATATCTAAAATACAAAGATAATTCAATTTCCAAATGATTTTTATCTAATAAGTGCATTATTCAAAGGCAAATTTTCCTTAGTCATAACCAATAAAATAAATCAAATAATTGGCATAAATTTGACCATAAATCAGTCCAAAATGCACAATTGATTACCCCCAATAAAAGCACAACCCAATAACCAAAAAGCACATGACCCATCCCAAAGCGCAAAATAATTGTTATGTATAAATGTCCCAAGGCCTAACGGTAATCGCCAAGTAATTTTCTCCTTTATATTGAATCAAAAATACTTTTATATTGAATCAAAAAATATTACGTGTTAAGTAGAATGCTTTAATTTCGTTTTTCTTGTTTTCTCCTTCAAACTGGAAAATGAAATCTGATAGCTATTGTTAGAGAGTAGAGGTTATTTGGGGGAAAACAAGGCATTACTCCGATAATTAATCAGTTAGATAGTATATTTTTTTTTTCATTACACCCTCATAGCTTTAAACTGGTTAACATTTTTTTTTGCTAGGGACTACAAATATTCTTATTTTTAAATTAGATTAGAAAGTTTACGAGAAGTTAGAATTGTAGGGCTTTACCCCAGGTTAGAGGGAGCCCTTCCAAAAATTCTCACGACCCAAGGGCCGAGAGAGGTCGGTTTACTCTCTTCCCTCTCATCAGTTCAAGGACTGACCTGTCGAGGGCACCGCTCATCAGTTCTAGGACTGAATATCGGGGGAACCTATAAGAGATAGTTTTGTAACTTTTGTAAACCATAGCGCTGCTTTAAACCGAGCACCGAGGTCTCTATTTAAAGTGCTCTCGCTCCCTGCCAGTCCTCACTCTGACCGATGTGGGACTAATAATCAGGGAGGAGGTTGGAGTATTGAAAGCCAAAATAGATATACGCCGTTGCCGGGGATCGAACCCGGGTCACCCGCGTGACAGGCGGGAATACTCACCACTATACTACAACGACTTTGGTGTTTGATGTAGCACAAATCTGTATTAAATAATACTAAAATTAGAATTACACAGCAAAAAATAGTGACCATAATAATAAGAGATAAAATCAGGGTTATAACAATGGAAACATTTAGTCGGCAATCACCGCTACGACCCTATTCGTAACCCCAACTCTAATCCTAAAGCTAATCAAAATTCGAATCCTAATTTTAACGCTAACTTACATCTCTCACGAACACCAAGTTAGCAAAAACAAACAATGTTAAGATACATTCTATAGTCATCGGTGTAATTACAATTGGTAATCTCAAGATTATTAGTGTAGGTACGCAGACTTTAAGATTATCTGTATGTTTACATGATACTTCAGAGCACTGGAATGTAGTTAATATGTTCAGCATGCAGAAAAGAAATAATTTATGAGTGTTGAAACAGTGTGAATTTTTTAAAACCTGGATGCAAATTCCTCATGGGTCGACCTATGAAACCCAATTGGTCAACCCATGAAGCCCACCCTTCTCTTCAACTTTTCAGTTTTAGTGTTTTTTGACTTAGTCTTTACAGACGAAGTCATGAACAGAGATTTGTTAGCCAATAACTCTGTTATGAGATATTTTCAGAGCCCACTAAGTTAAAGAAAATATTTTTTTGAACGGCCTCGTCCAGTTTGTTCGGATCTTGTGGGAAACAGTTATTTCAATTGGCCTATATATATCTCTGCTTTCAGTCATTCTAAAAAAATCAGAAAATATTTTTCCTCTTCAATTCTCTCTTCTCCTGTCTCTCACGCTCTCTACATGTGCTCTATTTTTTTAAAACGTTCATTCTCAGAAGGTTTATTTCAAAACACTTTGGTTCCGAGCATTGTTTGGGGGTGTTGGATTGTCGTCCTCTTTCAGTGCAGTTGAGGTCCGAGACAGAGGAGATTCTGGGCTGTTTTATCCTGGGGACGACGGGGTTGTGATACTGCTTGCACTCTTGGGCAGAGCCGCGAAACGTCTTAAAGAGAGCGACCTAGTCCGCGACTCAACCCAAGCTGAATAATTTTTGGTAACAATGTTTTTATTTTATATTACAGCAACAATGAGTTTACTTCCAACAAGTAGATTGCGTTGCATTTTGCCCCCGGTGGTTGTTTGCATCTCTGTCGATTTACGGCCTATACAATCTTGAAGAATATTGGGCCTTCGGTGGAGCGTTTCTCTCTCGGCCCTTCTCGAAGTGTGAACCAAATGTTTCTTGTTTGTTGTCTGCTTACGAATAAAAAATGTGAAGTTAATCTGTCATATCGGACCGTGCATTATGCATATAACATTAAAATTAGTGGTTAATTTAAACTATGTTTCTACAAATTAAGTATATCTTAGATTTAGATCAAAGTTGACGAGCAAAATCTTAAATCTTTGCAATGAAATAATATTAGCACTAATTTTTATTTTTAGTTGATGAAACTTGGATGTGGCCCCTCAAATCAGAGGCGTGGCCAGTGAAGGCTTGCCTGGGCAGCTGCCCAGGGCAAGAAAGTGAAAAATTGCGGGGGTGACGCCATCTACGACCAGGATTCACCGCCACCGGAGTTCGGTTGGTTGTCGTTTTGAGCTTTCTAGGGCGCTTTTCCTCCGATTTGGTTGTCGTTCTTGAGTTCTCGTCAGGGTTAGGGTTTCTGAAAGGTATACTACGATGGCGCCGAGTCGGAGGAGAGGGGGAACAAGGGGAAGGCGAAGGCAGTGGCGTAGTCACCTTTATTTTTCGTTCAGGGCAAAAAAATAATCCTGGCTACGCTACTGCCTCAAATCGACCAATTATTGGAAGTGCAATGAATGTCACAGGTGATACTCTCGTCTAGGTGTGCAAATGGATCAGACACGGTTCCGATATGACACTATATATGTATCAGCTTACTAAAACTACAAATAAATATGGCTTTCAATTGGTAAGAAAAAATCATGACCATGTCCGAAAAAAATAGAGATAGATATGGTACGAATACTAAAGAGACAAATATCGTGCGGTTGAGGATATAGATCAGATACTTGGTGAATAAATATGCATCAAATATCAGATACTTAGTGAATAAATATGCATCAAATATCAGAGGATATATGTTTATTAATTGCTCTAATTTGCATCAAAAATATAAACATGACTTAAAATTGCAATATGTTGCCTACTATCAATTTTTAAAAGTAGTGTACAATATCAAATACAACCAAAATAAGTCAATTCTCAAATGATTTTAATCCAAGTGCGTTATTCAAATGGGAAGTTTTCCGAATCATTATTAATAAAATAAATCAAATTATAGTAAATTTTGAAAGTGCCCTTGTTTGTGGGACAATTTGCAAAGAAAAAAAATGAGAAAATTGGATTTGATTTATTCTTTCTAACAGCTTAGAAAAAGAATGTTTACAATTCTCTCGATACAATTTCTCTCTAACTGGCTTTAGAAAAAGAAATTGCAATTCCTCTCAATCGGTATCCCGATTTACAAAAGAGAAGAGGATCGACGGAGACCCTCCCCTTTGTTTAATTCTG